ACAGCAAAGGAAACCATAAACAAGGCGAAAAGACCACTCTCAGAATGGAAGAAAATATTTGCAAATGAAGCAACTGACAAAGGATTCTTCTCCAAAATATACAAGCAGCTCATACAGCTCAATATCAAAAAACAAACAACCCAATCCAAAATGGGCAGAAGACCTAAATAGACATTTCTCCAAAAAAGATATACAGACTGTCAACAAACACATGAAAGGGTGCTCAACATCACTAATCATTAGAGAAATGCAAATCAAAACTACAATGAAGTATCACCTCACACCAGTCAGAATGGCCATCATCAGAAAATCTACAAACAATAAATGCTGGAGAGGGTGTGGAGAAAAGGGAACCCTCTTGCACTGTTGGTGGGAATGTGAACTGATACAGCCACTATGGAGAACAGTATGGAAGTTCCTTAAAAAACTAAAAATAGGGCTTCCCTGGTGGCACAGTGGTTGAGAGTCCACCTGCCGATGCAGGGGACACGGGTTCGTACCCCGGTTCTGGAAGATCCCACATGCAGCGGAGCGGCTAGGCCCGTGAGCCATGGCTGGTGAGCCTGCGCGTCTGGAGCCTGTGCTCCGCAGTGGGCGAGGCCACGGCAGTGAGAGGACCGTGTACCGCAAAAAAAAAACCTATAAATAGAACTACCGTATGACCCAGCAATCCTACTACTGGGCATATACCCGGAGAAACCCATAATTCAAAAAAGAGTCACGTACCACAGTGTTCATTGCAGCTCTGTTTACAGTAGCCAGGACATGGAAGTAACCTAAGTGTCCATTGACAGATGAATGGATAAAGAAGATGTGGCACATATATACAGTGGAATATTACTCAGCCATAAAAAGAAACGAAATTAAGTTATTTGTAGTGAGGTGGATGGACCTAGAATCTGTCATACAGAGTAAAGTAAGTCAGAAAGAGAAAGACAAATACCGTGTGCTAACACATATATATGGAATCTAAAAAAAAAAATGGTTATGAAGAACCTATGGGCAGGGCAGGAATAAAGACGCAGACGTAGAGAATGGACTTGAGGACGCAGGGAGGGGGAAGCGTAAGCTGGGATGAAGTGAGAGAGTGGCATGGACTTATATATACTACCAAATGTAAAATAGATAGCTAGTGGGAAGCAGCCGCATAGCACAGGGAGATCAGCTGGTGCTTTGTGACCACCTAGAGGGGTGGGATAGGGAGGGTGGGAGGGAGACGCAAGAGGGAGGAGATATGGGGATATATGTATGTGTATAGCTGATTCACTTCGTTATAAAGCAGAAACTAATACACCATTGTAAAGCAGTTACACTCCAATAAAGATGTTAAAAGAAAAAAGGACCGGTTCATTATTAAAAATACTTGTAGAGCCCATCTTCCTTTCCCTTCATCTCCCCTTCCCATCACCTCCAGAGGCAGTACCACAGAGGTGTTGAGAGCAGCATGCCTGGCATCTGAAGAAACGTAGAGTAATAGTGAGTGCAGAGGTGTCACCAAGAGTAGTTGGGAGATTGGTTATATTGAGCAAATAAGTTGTTTGAGTTAGCAAACAAATAAATATACTAAAGATAAGGAAGCCAGGTTTCTCACTGGCCAAAGGGATTTACAGACATTGAAGGGTAGAAAGCTGAAAAGAACACTGAGGCACTGGATTAGAATTGTAATTATCAGCATGATTTCACAGCTTTTTAAATTTGTATGTAGAAACGATTATAATGTTTATATATTTGAATATATGAATATAAATATATACATATGTGTATACATACATAAATTTCTTAGTTGTGTACACTGAAAGGGTCTAGAGGCAATGATACCTCAATAGTAATGAGCACAATGAGTGCTCAGATCTTGGTTTCTAAATACCACCCTCCACTAAAAGGAATCAGCGATGCTTGGATAAGTGGCCAATTCTAGGACTGGGGCAGCAAACATATAAGATCAACGTGTAACATCATGTTGTTCCAGAAAGTAAAGAAATATTCAAAGAATGGTGGGAACATGTCAGAAGGACCCCAAAGCCAGCCTGAATGCATGCCCACTGACCAAATCTAATGTAAGCAACAAAATAAATACTGTTAATATCAGATTACAGCTCATTGAATAAAATAGAAATCTATGCGTTTATAAATAAATGAATAAATAGAGAAGGGGACATTCTTCCTTAATATACAAGCTCAACTAATAAATGCAGAAGGGATGGTAGAAATAGATAATGACCGTTGATGTCTGTTATAGGGACGGTGATACAGAAGGAGTCATCGGTGGATGCTAGACTGGTAGTTGGAGGCTTGGTGAGGAACAGGGTATTGGCATGATGCAGTGTACTTGTTTCAGCTCTCATACTGTAACAAGTGTCCTTTCACAGTCCATTTAATAACACATTTTTCACATTTTTATGCTTTTTGTTGATTTTGCTGTTTAAAATAGCCCCCACATGTAGTGCCGAGGTGCTGTCTATCTAGTGTTCCTAAGTACAAGAAGGCTGTGATGTGTCTTACAAAGAAAATGAATGTGTTAGATAAGCTTCATTGCAGCATGAATTATAGTGCTATTGGCCACAAGTGCAATGTTACCGAATCAATTCTGTGTTAAATAAAGTGTTTTTAGCTGGAAACCCACATAAAACAAGGTTACATGTTGATCAGTTGGAGAAAATGGACTAAAGGCTCACAGGAACCTAACCCTGCATTTTCCATAGGAGCAGTACTTCACTGTTTGCTAATTCAGTGTTCATGGCACATTATAGGACTTCACTGCCATGAATAATAAGAATCAGATGTATCTCGCGTAATGGGTACTGCCGAAACCGATAAGTGTCGTTTCAGGGGGGCCCCAAGGAGCCCGGTCTTTTATGTCTCAGCACAGAAAGAATTCAGCGAGTCAAAGTGATAGATAAGCAGTGATTTATTAGAATAGAATAGGATGCTTGTGAGGCTTACAAGCGGCTGGGCAAGAAGGTGCTGCGCCCTGAGAACTTAGTGGGCTACAGTTTTGTAATCAAAGGAAAAGTGGGGAGGGTGAAAAGACCACCTTCTTCCTCATTCTTGAGTAGATGTCATGCTTCCATCATCAGCTCCTCCTCCAGATTGGGCAGGGGAGTTTTCTTGCCCCTACGTGGTCAAGCCAGGACTGTCATGGCACTATGGAAAAATTATTTCAGGTCTTTCATTTTGAAATGTCACCTTTCCATAAAGTACTGTTTTTTATGTGTGCAGAGAGCATGTCCTAGGGATCATTAACTTACTGAGCTCACTGGGCAGGATGTGGGTCTCATGTCACCATTGTTTTTATTGTTTTGGGGCTTGTCTCATGCATGGGTTTTGTTGCTAAGCAGGCCTGCTTGGCTTGTGGTTAAGCAAACCTGCTTTCTTGAATGACCATTAACTTACAGGGGTCTCCCATACTTTTTTCTTTACTTACAATCCCCTAGTGGGATTAACTATTTAATTGCCTAATTTGTCCCTTTACTTTGTCCCTATCACTAACAGTGGTTGCCATTGGTTTTATCAGATTAATTTCACATGATGTATAACAGTGTTCAAAATTTTACTCTCTTGTGAAACTATACGTATGTATTTGTGAGTGATTTATAAAATATTTCAGGGTTAAAAGGGACATGTGGAAGACTAACTTTGACTTATATAATATGAAGTAGTAAAATATTTAAAACAGTTGTTTGTGCATTTCTTGCTAAAATAAACTATACTTTTTAGTTGGCTAGCCTTCTTTCGGTTTCATCTGCTTACTAATTTAAGATGAATTTGATTTTAAGAAATTATAGTTCCAAAGATAGAAAGTTTATTTTACTAGAAAGTATAAGTAAACCATACCTATTAACTAATCACTCTAAAATATGTTTTTTATGTTGCTCTCACTTTGAACTCCTTGGTATGTCTTTCTCTTAAAGAATTTTGGCTTATCAGTGCTTTATAGTTGCTTCCAGAGTCTGATAGATTTATTGTGTATAGTTTTTAATGCTAATCAATTGGCTTTTGATACTTTTTTGAGTGAGTGGGGAATATCTTATTAGAATCAAATAGATGAATTAGCTAATTTTATTTACTTAACATTTGGAGGGATAAGTGAAAAGAGAAGGAAAAGACTCAAGCTGATTCAAAAGCAAAAATGAGAAGAAAAGATAAATGACGTATTCTTCAAGTCTTCTAATCAACCAAATATTAGACAAAAGAAATTGGGGATTTGTCTTTAAACTGGAGATGTGCTGAGCATATTCTTACTTTAGGTTTTTTTTTTTTTAACTGTCTTTAGATACTGATTTTTGTCTAGAAGGGATAGTGGGGGCTACTAAAATGAAACTCATAATTTCAACTTTTGCTTGACATTTCCTTGGTGCTGGGCACTTTACACTATATTAATGCCAGGAAAAATATTTTATCTACTCTCATCTTTAGGCAAGTTCTTATTCTTCGAATGCAGAGTCACTTCTAATTTAGATTTTTAGGAAATGGGAAAAAATTTATTCTTTGAGACCAGTTGTCTAAGCCAGGCTTTTGCGCTTCCTGGTTACTTGTCATTCAGCAACTGTATGGGAAAGTGTTTGTAAGCTATAAATCAGTGTGTTAATAATAATTTTTATTTCTCCTCTGAAGTTGGACTTTGTAAAAACTTTGTAAAAAACAGTTTTATTTCTTGTTTTGTTTAGTACAGATGTCTGTCTCTTCAGCCAAAAATCATTACTAATGGTTATTGGGCATTTGTTTTGTACTTTGTAATCTTATAAAATGTTTTCATCAGATGTTTCTTAGAAAAACCCTGAGTGATAGGTGAAAATCATAACTTCATAGATGGGAAAACTGGGAGGTAGAAAAGCGGTGAACCTTGCTTTCGGGTCAGAATATTCAACCTCTGCTTTCCTGGTCGGTTTTGAGGTGGGGAAGGGGTGGTTTTGTTCTTTTTGTTTTTTTAAATATCCCTGCCTTTTACTGCTGTAGAGAGTGACTTATATTTTACAACAGCTGATGTTTTTCTCCTACAGAGATATTCCAATGCCCTTAGTCAGCTCAGGAGTAGAGCATGGTAATTTGAGAGAGCTGGCATTTGCAAGAATGAAAGACCTTGGAATACAGGTAAGAGTCTGACCATAACTGTTGAGATCAAAGTAGTCTGAGACACGAAAACCTGTGATACTATCACATTACAAACTTACAGGTTTGGTCAAAAAGCTTTCATGTATTGAAGCCATTCTTACTGTATAACACATTGAAATTGAAGCTAGTGGTTGCAAAGTCTGCATCCTATCCCCTACACCCCTCTGCTTTCTTCTAAAAGAGCGTAGGTTTGTCAATTTAATGGTTGTTTTCCCTGCCTTCTCAGATTGCCAACTACGTGTTCAACTCCTTTTTTAAAAAAACTTTTTTTGTTGTTTTGAAGTATTGGGTGTTCAATTCTTGACTAGTGGTTAGAGAAGAATACAACAGTTGAAGAAACAAGGCTTACATACTGAAATAATTAGCAATGTTATTGCCCAGATACACCAGTCTCCCTCGCCCTGCCCCAACCCCATGTCTATTCACTCACTCATTTATTTCACAAATATTTACTAAACACCTCCTTTCTGCTTTCCCTGAAAGAGCCCAGGAATCTGCAATTTGACAGTCTGTAGATGATTATGAAATCACAATAAGGTTTGAAACTCACTGCCCTAGGAGCTATTTCTCAGAGCTGCTAAAGAGAAAAGTCCAGGAGGGTGTCTAGGCCTGAGCACTGATTCCTGGCCTCTGCCTTCAAAGATTCTCGTTCACTCCATCTGGGATGGAGCTGTGGGAGGTTCTCATGCACAGTGCAAACATGGACCCCACTTCGAAAGATGTTGTTGAGAGGACTGCATATCATGTTTGTGGACCTACCCAAAACATTTTGTCCTCTGTCAATATATTATGGAGAAAATTTTTCAGAAAATTGTTTGTCCGTAGGAGAGTTTGTGAACATTATGGCTTATTCTACCCTCCCCCTCAAAAAAATTTCATTCTAGAAAAACAGCAAATGTATGTACAGTAATGAAAGCCCCAAACAAGAGCGTGTGCCTGCTCAGCCTCCCAGTCCCCCCTGCCTGTCCTTGTCATCCAGCTCTTCCTCCTGAGAATACCACTGCCCAGTGACCCACCCGGCCTGCTCAGCCTGCTGACCTCATCAACCAGGCACTGTTTTTAACCCTGTACCCCTCTTAACCCGTGATAGCCTATCGTCAGGTAAACTGGGATTGAGTCTAAAGACTGGAATGCAGTCACACCGAAAGACATCCAGTTCACATAGGGAGTGTCTTTACTAGAAAATAAGCACACACCAATCTCTGCCTTAAAAAGCATTCCCCTCCCCTCCAAAAAAAAGAAAAAAGCATGCAAGTGTTCATTAAAAGCATGTAATATGGGTTCCCGGGGCATGGACTGAATAACGAGCTCTTATTTTTCTCATGGAATTCCATCCATATATATACTAAATATACTATTAGTAGTATAGCTGCATGACATCATCAGATTTCCTATGGCAATCTTTTCTCACTGATGGAAAATGTTAGAATCCTGGAAATAATTTTTACAGTTCTGTAGGGGAAAATATACCATAGGGCATATAATAGTTACTGTAATTATAAATGTCAGGCTGTGTAGCCTGCACACTGGGTTGTGGAATAGAAGCAAGTGTTACATCACATAGCTTGGCCGTGCAGACCAGGCACTGCTTCTGTATCATCCACAGGCAGCTTTGTGCTTCCCAGGGACACTCAAAGAGCCAATCTGTGACTGTGGTTCAGATTGTATAATAAATAGCTCAAGGTTCTTTCTTTCCATTCTTCTTCCTTCCCTTCCTTCCTCCCTCCCATCCTTTCTTCCACAGAGCCCTTCTCTGCAAAAAACAGCAGTCTTAGCTTCCCTCTTTCTGACATTCCTAAAATGATACAAATATGGTGATGCTAAAAATGTTAACTGCCATAAAATGGTGAAGGTTTTAAAAAATTAGGAATTCCGTTTTTTCTTTTTTTTTTTTTGCTGTACGCGGGCCTCTCACTGCTGTGGCCTCTCCCGTTGCGGAGCACAGGCTGCGGACGCGCAGGCCCAGCAGCCGTGGCTCACGGGCCCAGCCGCTCCACAGCATGTGGGATCTTCCCGGACCGGGGCATGAACCCGTGTCCCCTGCATCGGCAGGCGGACTCACAACCACTGCGCCACCAGGGAAGCCCAGGAATTCAGTTTTTACTCTTCGGTAGACATAGTTTTGGGTTGCACTTTCAGATACAGTTATATCCTCTGGATTTTCAGATTTTAGAATGTATGTTCTTTACTTTCAATATTGTATATTGATCTCCTTTGGATTCTAAACTTATTTTAAAAGCAATACTGTACCAACTTCATGTATTTCTAGTTTGTTTTTCCCTATCCTCAGGTTTATTAAAGATGGCTTCATTTTTAATTCATTTCTTTTACCTCAATGTAAATTATGTCCAAACTTAATTTTGAGCCCAGGATTTGGTGGAGAAGTTTCAATAAAAATTGAATTAGTTACCAGTTTTATATTTGCCCCCCCTTCCCACTTTTTTTTCTTTCTTTTCTTTCTTTCTTTCCTTTCTTTTTTTTGGCAGTGTCGAGACGTGAGAACCAGAGAGGTTGGAATCCAAGAAATTCATCACAAAGTGCGTCCATACCAGGTTAGTTTCTTCATTTTATAGAGAGATTGGGTCCTGTTCATTAATCTTTGTTAAGCCTGGGCCTACACCTACTTACCAGTAGGACCAAACCCTAGAAGTTAATGAGTAAACTAAGAGCAAAGAGTAATTCAGAATGAAGTCAAGCCAGGAAAGCCAGATATGAGGGTGGCTCAACTCTAGAAGAGCCAGGTTAGGAAAACCAAGTTTGAACTTCATTGTAGATCAGCACTGTCCAGTAGAACTTTCCGTAGTGTTGGAAATGTTCTATAATCTGTGCCATCTAATAGGATATCAGCTACCAGTCACATGTGACTTGAAATGTGGCTAGTGCAAAGAAGAACTTAGTTTTTAATTTAATTTCAAGTAATTCCAATGTAAATAGCCAAATGTGACTAGTGGCTACCTTCAGGTAAAACTGAGTGTCATGTGCTTATCTCTGTGTGCAACTGTTAAATTATTGCCTGTTGATGGTAATCAAGTGAATAGATCAGCCATATCAACAGGGGTTCCACACAACGTGTTTGTGATAAATTAACTTCTCTCCTAGAATGACATCGTGTTAGCCATTTGCCAGATTTTCTGTGGGGGTTAGCTGTCGTGTAGGAGCCCATTTGAGAAAGGCTAGAGTAGATCTGCATTGATATTTCTGTTCTCAAAGTGAATTGTTTATTTGATTGACGTTTTTCACATTTTGGATCTTTTGAGGAAAAAAGTAGACCCAAGCATAGTTAGTCATTTTGTCAAATTCTTGTGCAATCCAGTTATTCAGCAAACATTAAGTTGAGGAGGAATATCAGTATTAGTCTGTTTATTCACCTCGCTGTGGGTCCAGTCTGCCCATTTTCATAGTGTATCTGGGTGTGACCATGCCCACATATGTAGCTTTCTCTGCATGCATATTGCTTATATTTACGCAAAGTACAAGGGACACTTGAGCAGGAAGCAAGAGTCAAAAGCCCATGTAGACTGCTAACACAAAAGCTTCCCCAAAAGCCCCTCTCCGGTGATTGGATTTTCTTTAACATGTTAATCTCATAACTAGGCATACTATTTTAAAGGTCCTGTGGGATACTTTTTTTAAAAATTCCATCAAGGAATAAGTAACCAATAACACATTTTTTCCCCTAAAAGCAGGTTTTAGTGGAGGAGGTAAGGACTAGAAAAGAAAGCCATTGAGTACCTGACAGTTCTGGGGCCTCAGGGTGCTCCCAAGAGCTGCACACGTGACATAATGTATAATTTTACCTTAGAAACTCTTCATGGAGGATCAGATTTAAATACATGGAAGCATTTACTGAGCCAAACTGTAAGAATCACAAGGTTAATGAGGTTCAGATATTTATGAAATTGTAAAACTGGTTTCCTTTTTTATAGTCCACGAACAAGTCATGAACTCTCGTTTAATCAGTGCTATTGAGAGGAGACAAGTAAAAAGAAACATAATTTGTGGTTGTTTATTCTTTATCCCTAATCGTGGATATTAGTCTAAATAAACATATATAATAATAGAAATGCACTTTGTTCTCTAGTTTAAAAAAAAAAAGTTTTTGCGTGGCTTTTTATGAAACAGGTTGAATTGGTGAGAAGAGATTATGTTGCAAATGGTGGCTGGGAGACATTCTTATCCTATGAAGACCCCGATCAAGACATTTTGATTGGCCTCCTGAGATTACGGAAGTGCTCAGAGGAGACATTCCGTTTCGAATTGGTCGGCGGGGTGTCCATAGTCCGAGAGCTGCATGTGTATGGAAGTGTCGTCCCCGTTAGCAGTCGGGATCCCACTAAATTTCAGCATCAGGTATCCTGTATTCCATTTCTGTTTGACTGTGATTAAGAAATTGCTCAAAGGAGGAAAAGAGAAAAAGAATGGGGCAAGGGTGGAAGGGTGGGAGCAGAGGAAAAGGAGGGGGGAAATTCGGGAAGTGTAGAAACAGGAACCAGTATAATACTACAGTTGTTCAGAGATGTTTTCTCTTTAAATTGCTCCCCTTTGGGTGTGAGGGAGGGGGAGGGAGAGACAAATTGAGACTCAGTCAAGTGGAATATAATAATAGACTGAACCGTATGAAATTGCTATTTTTGAAAGTCAGAAATGGTCTAATACTGGCAATTTCGTATGATTCAACTATTTTGGGATCGAAGGAGATGATAATTTGAAAGAAAGCACTTATGAAATGTTAAAGCACTTCGTAAAGACAAGCAAGCTATGTGATATATATAGTGGAACACTATTCCACTCCCCCAAACAACCTAAATAAATAACTCACTTTTTTAAATTTCAGGAGAATAGGTTAAAACTGCTAATGGTGGATGTAGCATAAACCCCCATATTGGTGATTTAAGAATATTGCCTGGTTTCAGAAAGCTTTTTAGAAATTGAAGGGGTGACTAATAATACAAGGGTAGATGCCCCAGACTTTCATCACCTGGAGATTGCCTAGAACTTGTTTAAAAAGAGACAAGTCGAGAGGCAATTACACCCTTGCTGTGACTAGATTAGTCATCCACAGAATACCTTTTGATGGCTTTTGTTGCAGAGTTATTCCTAGTCTGCTACAGTGTGCTTCTGGTATAATTGAATAGTGAAACTTTTCCTTACCCCCGTAAATGGTTTTTTGTCACTCTTATCTTAAAAGAGTTTAGCAGCTACAAAATATTACCCTTCTTGTTTTATGGACCCCTCTTAATGACTTCTTCCCTTCTTAATTCCCTAACCCCTCCATTGCCTCTTACAGGGATTTGGCATGCTACTGATGGAGGAAGCAGAAAGAATAGCTAGAGAAGAACATGGATCTGGGAAAATAGCTGTTATATCAGGTAACTGGGGGAGGGCAAAGTTCATGATTCGTTCACATTTTTAACTTGGTACCACAATGGAAAGTACCTCAGGCCTCTCTTTTCCCCATATATGATTATTATGTTCAAAATTGGGCAGAGCCAAATAGGGAAAGGCTGGTGCTCAAGCACAAAGAAGATTCCTGTAAGCAGTTTGGCGGAATAGAGCTTGCAGAAGCTCTCCATCTCTTGAGTGGCAAGGCCAGTAATCCATATCCTGTCTTCCTCGTGGTCTGTCACACTGGTCTCTTGTGCTTTGTGCCCAGTTACTCTGTCTGGGAAAAATGAAATTTGATGATATGGATCTAAGAAAATCATAAGTCAGTGTGGAGGTTTGTCAGTATCATTCTGGAAATTAAAACAGAACCTAGTTGCCAGTACAAGATGTTGAAAGGCAGAGTTCCTTGCTCCTTAAAAATTGTTTTCAGTGACTTTGTTCCTGGGGAACAGATTTCCCCTGTTTGGAAGCTTTCCCCTTACCTTGCCTAGGACATCAGATAAGTGGAGAAGTGGGCATGTAAAGGAAGGCCTGCTGTAAGTGGAGCAAGAAATAACGCATATGCACCCTTTCACTCATATCCTCACAGACTTTGCTCTTCTCAATAAGAAGCTAACATGGTGAAAGCCATGATCAAGATTCAGGTTATTTTCCCTCCAGCATTTGTTTTCCCATTAGACTATGGCATTATTAAATGAAAGTTGAAATGACACTTTTTTAAAAAAAAATCAGTAAGTTGTTGCCAATCAATAAATCAGTACCTTTGCCCAGATTTCAATGATTCCAAATACGGAAATGTAATGACCCAGGCTCACTTAATCGATTATTCAGTCTGGCTATGGTTTTTGGCATTATCCAGACAGATAATAAAGCATTTTTTAACATGGCTAGCTCTATGTTTCTGTGTTATCTTTAATATTTTTTATTGAAGTACAGTTGATTTACAGTGTTGTGTTAATTTCTGCTGTACAGCAAAGTGACTCAGTTATACACATATATACATTCTTTTTTATACTCTTTTCCATTATGGTTTACTCCAGGAGACTGGATATAGTTACCTGTGGTATACAGTAGGACCTTGTTGTTTATCCATTCTGAATGTAACAGTTTGTATCTACTAACCCCAAACTCCCAGTCCATCCCTCTCCCTCCCGCTCCCCCTCCCCCCTTGGCAACCACAAGTCTGTTCTCTGTTTTTTCTGTGTTATTTTTAATCCCACTAAAGAAGTTGGAACTAAATGAGGTTCACCTAATTGGTGCCAATATTTGTAATAAAAAAAATGTTTACTTCTCATTTGTTTAGCCTGTGGTTGTCCAGAAGTCAGCCTTTCCTGGTACCAGGAAAGAGCCAGACCGACTCAGAACTCTTTGTACATGTGCACCCCTGGATTACCCGAAATTTCAGTGGCCTCTTTTGCCAGCGCACTGTCAGTGTTTTCAGTACAGTACTTCCCAAGCGTTAATGTGCTCGTGAATCATCTGGAGATCTTGTTAAAATGCAGATTCTGACTCATTAGGTCTGGGGTGGGGCCTGAAAGCCTAGATTTCTAACCAGCACCCAGTGATAACCTATACTGATTGTCTTCAGACCATACTTTGAGTAGCAAGGGTTTTAGTATTCTCTTCCAAATGCAGTATTCTCTTTCAAATCACTATGGTAAAGATATTCTCTGTGACCCTGGCAGTGCCTGCATTCCCAAAGTCTGATAGGCAATCAAGTGATTTTCTGGTACCTGTGGGAACTTGATCAGTTTTAAAACTGAAGGGCATCTGTATTCTTTTTTTTCTTAATTTTTTTTTTTTTTTTGGCTGTGTTGGTTCTTCGTTGCTGCACGTGGGCTTTCTCTAGTTGCGGTGAGAGGGGCTACTCTGTTGCAGTGTGTGGGTTTCTCACTGCGGTGGCTTCTTTTGTTGCAGAGCATGGGTTCTAGGCACAAGGGCTTCAGTAGTTGTGGCGCACGGGCTCAGTAGTTGTGGCTCATGGGCTCTAGAGCACAGGCTCAGTAGTTGTGGTGCATGGGCTTAGTTGCTCTGTGGCATGTGGGATCTTCCCCGACCAGGGCTCGAACCCATGTCCCCTGCATTGGCAGGCGGATTCTTAACCACAGCGCCACCAGGGAAGTCCCAGGGCATCTGTATTCTTTCACTTCTCCATTATATTTAATTTGCCTTCATGATATCTATCTCTTTTTAGAAATGTTACATGCAGAGAGGGGCCGCTGACTTGCCTGAGGTCACATTCAGTTGCCTGTAAGAGCCTCAGTTTCTGCTTTTTGAGCAGTGTCTTTCTAAGTGGAAATCAGCGTCTGTCCTCTTTCTAGCCTTTTGTTATACTCTAAATAATAGCTCAATTTCAGATCATCTGCTTGTAGAACTTTTAAAATAACAAGAAGAGACTTGCTAAAAATAACAGGGAAGAACCTTTCTGCTTATTAGTTGTCACAGTAAGACTACTTGGTTTCTGTACAGGGGTTTCTCTTAGCCAGAGGGTTTCTACAGAAGCAGCCCTGGACTGCATTCGTGGCGCTCAAGGGAGTTCTGTGTTACTTCCTGTCTCTATGGTCTGTGAGCCTCCCCACCACTGCTCTGTGCTGGGGAAACCAGCTAGGGCCTTGACTTGTTGTTTGACTGACGACCTGATCACTCTTCAAATGAAAACACCAAGAACATTTACTCTGTGCGTGATGCATTTTATTTCTCTAAGTTAGTAATATATTACTGTTCTATTTAAGTTTCTGAATCAGACATCTGAGGTGTCCATTATTCAGAACTTCAAGGAAGGCAGATTTAAAGTGTTTTTTTTTTATCATAATGTGTTCTTTGGTTGTTTTTTTTCTTCCATATTTGTTCAGTTGACTTTGGTCTTTCTGATATAAGTACAATGCTGTGTGTGTGTGTGTTTAATTGGTTTTTGTAAAAAGTGAATTATTCTCCATAGGTTGATCCTTAGAATGCAAATCTCCTTGTGATAGTACTGGTGCTTGTGTGCTGCATTTATTCACAAGACTTCATTAGGTGTGGTGTGTAAGAAGAGACACTTGGACGGGGGTGTTAGGATTCTATTCCTGCATTGACAGTAGCTCTCCTTGTAATCTTGAATAATGTTGCTTGATCTCCATGGACCTTTATTTCTTTACTAAAAATAAGTGGGTTAGGTTATCTTTTACAGTTCTAACAGTCTAGAATTCTGCCCCTTAATATCTTCATTTATTTTAGTTCTCAACAAGACCAACTATGTTGTACTGATTACATATGAAGTAGATTCTTTTCTAAAACCATATTAAGAGACCCTTTAATTTCATTAGTAATTGATCTCAGACATTTAGTTTGGGGTATTTGATGATAAAGTTTCCCGTAGGTAGCTAATCCTAGCCATGATTTGTGGAGGCATGTCCATTTCTGTCCCAAGTAGTGATATTTTATGACCTGTGTCCTACTTTTTTTTCCCTGACCTTGTCCTTTATTTGTAAATCCATCTTTGTTCTGGTCTGTAGGCTTTTGCATAACTCATACGTGGTGGTGGTCTAGGTATTCTGTCCTGGCATAACTAGTAGCTTGAGTAAAGGGAGAGATCATTTATCATTCTGGTTTCTGTGACTGTAAGAGGAATGCATTTATGTAGAATTTTTTTTTTAATTACGTCCTGATTCATTGTGACTTCCCTTCATCTTGCCAGCAGATTTTCTCTGTTTACTTGGATTTATAATCTTTGATTCTGCCTCTAGACAATATTATTAACTACACAGTAGATGTGATTTGAATCACTAGTCAGAAAGACTCCATATAGTCTATTTTTCCATATTAAAAACCAAATTGTTTTTATCTGTTACCTCAAGATATTTTGTTAATAAAAGGTACATACTGTATATTTTATAGCCGATTTATCTTTTTTAAAAGACTAACTTTATAGATACATGAGAAAACTGAAAACTTGTTTATCAGAGTCCAATGAAGCACTTTCTCAGAGTGACTTTTAAGTTTATTCATTCTGCTTAAGTATATAAAATTGTCTTAGTAAGTAAACTGTGTGTTTTAAAATTAACCATCAACTCGAAATGTGAAAATTAAACAAAGCAAAAATGAAATGGCTAACTTCATCAACATCAAAACACTACGTGTATTGAGTATCTCCTGTGTGTGGGGAACATGGACTGAGAGGGCAGAGAGAGGAAGGAGGAGATGCCACCCTGCCTTTGAGGGATGTTGATGGGGCCAGAGCAGCTCGCTCAGTCTTCACCCTGCAGATTGCCCTTAACTGCAGAGGAAGACAAATTTTTCCCTACTTAGACTATTTCTCAACTCAGGATTAGTTGCTTCAGCGTAAGAAAATCATTTTTTCCTACATATAAAAATGGGTAAATCAGTAGTATGAGAACAACCAGCTTATAATGTGTAGGCAGGAAATAACAGTTAATTGCTGCTAAATATCTAAGCAGTTAATTAATCTAAGCAGTTAATTAAGTTAATTAATACTTAAGTCCAAGTACTTTAGTATCTTTCATCAACTTACTCATGTAGCTTTGATCAGCACACATCTGTTTAAGATTAACAAATCGTATCTCCTTAAAAGCCATGATGTTTATCTACTTGGATGATCAGCATTCTTTCCTTTAAAAACGTTAAGATGGAGCAGTTTTTTCCTTCCCTCTCATATGGTATAAAGTGCAAAGATTACACTGTAGAACTTAACCATAACATTTGAAATGCCATCACTAATAATCACCATGGAAACTGGAGATCTCTGATGTCACACTGCCCGTGTGATTTCTCAAAGGGCAAATATAACTGTTGATAGCCACTATTTAAAGAGCCACTTAATACCTCCAACAAAATGATTTTTTTTCCTTTAGGCAATTTTGGCTAGGCATCAGATCCAGTCATGTTCCTGTTTCTGTTTGCCAAGCTAATTGCTGTGCATCAAGATGAACAGCTATTCCCCAAGCTCCCCCTACTACCTTCGTCATAAGCGGTATCCTATTTGTGTTCTTTCAAGTAGAAAATTAACATGGCCATTGGCCAAGAATTGTACCAGGCTGATGGATCAAACAATGATGATGAGAAAGGAGGAAGATGTCTGAGTGTTTGATGACAGAAATCACTGAAGTCAGAGGCTGATAGCCATTTTGTTTAAACCTTTTAAAAAGGCAGAGAAGAGGGGAGAAAAGAGCTTAAATACAGGATGAGCAAACGAGTCACCGTGGGATGACATCGTTCTAGATCATGATGCTCAGAGTTGTATGACTCTAAAGCCACATGTACAATCCCCACTAGTGAAAAAAATCAATGTGCCTGAGACTTATAGCATCTGATATGGCTTCCTGGGACTGAAATTAATGGTCTTGTGCCCCAGAGCCACTGATTAATCAAATGATATGTGGGCAGAAAGTAACAGTCGTTTTGTTTCAATGAACTACCAATGACTGAGATTACTTACTGGGCCCCAGAAACTTGGCCTGTATTCCAGGCTGTGACACATCTCCCTCCTTTTGAGGTGAAGGTAGTTTTATTCTTTGCATTATAATCTAATTGGGAAAAAAAAAAGGGTACATTTGTAACTAGATCTGTCTGGTAATGGACTTGTAATCATTACTAAAATGCCTAGAAAAGCTTTCCTTATTTTGGCTTACCTATTTGCTAATGGACACAGGAAGCCTGCCAAATGCAAACCGGTTTGTGCTGCATGTGTTAATATAGGACTTCTCAGAAAGGAAGGGAAAAGGCTCTTTGCTCTTTTATAGCTTCTGTTTCATCCCTTTACATAATTTATCTTTTCATAAATTATCCCCTAACTATTCCCTCGTTAAATGCACATTATTAGGGCTCTGTATATTCCTCTGTTTCTTTCATTTTGATATTCTAACTGTGATCATACATATTTCTTTTTTGGTGCATGTTCCAGTGGAATTTTGTTGTGGTGGTGGTGAATATCTTTCTTTTCAAGAACAATAAGTACAACATAAAATATTGCTTTACAACAAGAACTTTATTAATTTCATCTTTATTAATCAGACTAGCACTGATGACATAGAATACTACTTAGCTTGGTATCAAATTAGCTAAATGTGTGCTAAGTGGTGTCTGTATTGCTGTGGAGGCATTGATACATAGCTCACTTCAGGACTCTTTATTCCCTGACTTGATGTTTATTCATTTATAGATGAATCAGGTACCAGTTATATAGTACATTGCATATCAAGTGCATTGGACCCATCTCTCACTTGGCATCACATGACTATATTAATTAATGCATGTTTTTCAGACATTCCCAAATAGGCCATTAGTCAGTTTCCACTGTTTGGATCTTGTGGGCAAGTGAATTTTTGGTGACGTTTCCTAGGCAGAAGCTAGTGATACCAGTAGATATGCTGGCACTGGAGGAACAGGATTTGCATTTGGCAAGTGCTGTTGCTCTTCCCACATCCATGCTGTCAAGTCTTCCTGTGTCTCCGAAACGTGCGGGTTAAAGTCTCGGAGGATAGCCTTGCTAATTTAGTTGACACACCTACGTTTGTAGACTTCTTCTCCCCATTCTTGTTCCCTTTTGTTTATGGGTATTGGGAATGATAGCTGTATACTTCTGCTTGGGTAGAGGAATAGAGTTATATTATGTGGTTCCTAATAATATGCCCGAGAGGTCTGGGAGCTTTAATATAAAGGACCGCCTTTATTGTAAAGTTACATGCTTCACAGGCTTTTTTCTGAGCAAGGACTCCTTTTCCAAAGTGGTCTAGCCTGCATTGCTCACCATCTGCTGTCTATCACAAAGGCTCTTTTATAGTTTGTTGCAGTGTTAACTCCTTACCAGTGTAACATTCATGTGATTAGTACTGTGCTTTTCTCTAAATGTTTGACATTGCTATAACCCATTCAATTTGATAAAGCTTTTCTCTTTTAGATCTGTTAGAGGCAGGGCTTTGGCAGATTCTTCCCATTTGGGTGAGCAGGTAACTAAATAATGCTGGAAAATACTGATGCTCCCTTTTTTTAGCAACAACCAAGATACTGATATTATAGAGCCTTTTTAGTTTGGACATTTCTAATTCCAGCAAGACATACACAGGGGATTTCTTTGGTCAGTCTGGCTTAAACTGTTGACTCTAACCAACGGCTCACATTTTCAAGACATTAAGTGGTGGATTTAGGTTTTAGATTGTAGCCACAGGGTAATGTTTCCTTACGCACCTCATCCTGTGCCGCCCAATGCGTCCAGTTGTTCAGTTTGTCCACCATTTGTGAATGAATCACTGATGTCTAGTATACCAGTCAGAAGCCCCAGATCTATACCCTGTGTGGTCTGTTACCTCTTACTGCAAATCCTACTAACTAGTGGTTGTCTGGGTTATTTATTGTGGTGGAACACACCACCCCAAAATTTAGTGGCTTCAAACAACCATTTTATTTGCTCAGTGATTCTCTAGGTCAGACATTGAGCAGGGCATGGAGAAGATGGCTTATCTCTGTTCCATGATGTCTAGGGCCTCGGCTGGAGTGGCTTGAATGGCTGGCAGCTGCTGGGGTGGCTTGCCTAGAGCCTGTCTTCTAGCTGGTAGTGGGTGCTTGGCTGAGACTGTCCACATGAGCACCTTGCTGCTTCTCCACATGCCTTGAACTTCTCCTAGCATGAAGGCTGGCCTCTAAAAGGAGGGAGGAAAGGCCTCAGTTTAGAAGTTGCAGAACATCTTATATGCATCATTTATCGCTGTGTAATAAAAAAGCCACAAAACGTAGTGGCTGAAAACAACAAGCAGTTATCTCATGGTCCCTGTAGGTAAGGAATCCAGAAGGGACCTAGCTGGGTGCCTCTGGCTCAGAGCATCTCATAAAGCTGCATTTACAGTGTCAGCCGGGACTGTAATCATTTCAAGATTCAATTGGGTTGGAAGGGTCACTTCCAAGTTCACTGTATGGTTTTTGGCAGGCTTCAGTTTCTCACGGGCCGTTGGTCTCAGGGCCAGCGTTCCTCCCCATGCCATGTGGGCCTCTCCATGGGGCTGCTCATCATGTGGTAGCTTGCTTCCCCCAGCAGAGTGATCACAGAGACAGAGTCCCTTTGACATGGAAGCCTAGTCTTCATAGCCTGGTCTCAGAAGAGAGCCGACGAGTCTAACGCCACCTTCAAGGGAAAGGGAGTACACATGACTGTGAATACCGGGAGACAGGGAACTTCGAGGGTCATTTTAGAGACTGCCTGCCACGATGTGACTTCTGCCCCATTTTTTTTGGTTAAGGAAGTCATTGGGCCAGCCCAGATTTAAAGGGAAAGGAAAAAATCCCACTTCTCAAAGAGAGAGGCTCTGGTAGTGACCATCTTTGGATACAAAGTGAGCGAATACACTTTCATTAACTTGTGATTAACAGGCATCCAGCCCCTTTCTACAGGAAACTTCATGTAGCCTTCTCCCAGGATGGACTGTCTTTGGGCATACCTAGCGTTAGGGGTTCTTGTCCCCGTCCTGATGTCAGTATTTTCATGCAGCCATCATGCAGCACAGGCACACCTAACACTGTCTTAAGCGGAGTTTGGCAGGCCGCACAAGAAGCACCTGCATCTGACCTATGTCTGCCCTCTCTTCCATGAGGACATTCCTCTGTTTCCCCTTACAGGCCTGTCTAAATGTCTCACGCTTTAGGTCTAAGATGTTGCCCATTTACGTCTTCCTTCTAGGCTATGGAATATAGAAGACCATCTTAGGCAAGGGTACATGCTTTCCCTAGGGAGATCTGACCCCAATCGACGTTCCTTTCTCTCCATAAATACCGAAAATAGTTAATGCACCTTAAAGACTTTTTCCCCCCATTTGGGGAAGCAGTAAATTGTATATAACATAAAATTTGCCATTATAACCATTTTTAAGTATACAGTTCAGTGACTTTAGTTACATTCACAATGCTGTGCAACCATCCCCACTATTTCCAAAACATCTTCATCACCCCAAACAGAAACTCTGTGCTCACTAAGCAGTAAATTTTATATAACATAAAATTTGCCATTATAACCATTTTTAAGTATACAGTTCAGTGACTTTAGTTACATTCACAATGCTGTGCAACCATCCCCACTATTTCCAAAACATCTTCATCACCCCAAACAGAAACTCTGTGCTCACTAAGCAGTAATTCCCAATTTCACCATCTCCCAAGCCCCTGGTAACTTCTAATCTACTTTCTGACTCTGTGAAATGGAATCATACAATATGTGTCCTTTTGTGTCTGGCTTATTTCACTTAGCATAATGTCTTGAAGGCTCATTCATGCTTTACACACACACACACACACACACACACACACACTCTCTTGGGTTGTTTCCATCTTTTGACTATTGTGAATAATGTTGCTATCATGTTGGTATTCAAATATCTATTTGAGTCTCTGCTTTCAGTTCCTTTGTGTCTGTACCCAGAAGCGGAGTCGCTGGATCAGTGGTCATTCCATTTAACTTTTTGAGGAGTCACCAAATTGTTTTCTACAGCTGCTGCATCATTTTACTTTCCCATCAACAGTGCACAAGGGGTGCAATTTCTCCACATCCTTGCCTGCACTTGTTATTTTCCTTTCTTTTAAATTTTTTTTTTTATTTTATAGCCATCCTAATGGTGTGAAGTGATGTTTTATTGGGGTTTTGGCTTACATTTCCTTGATGACTAAAATGATGTTGAACATCTTTTTGTGTGCTTATTTGTCATTTGTGTCTTTTAAAAAATGTCTATTCAAGTCCTTTGCTCATTTTTTAATTGGGTCGTTTGTCTTTTTGTTGTTGAGTTGTAGGAATTTTTAATATCCTCTGGCTACAAGACTCTTAAATATTTTCTTCCATATATATTCATAAAGATAGTGGTCTGTAATTTTCTTTGTAGTGTCTTTGTCTGGCTTTGGTATCAAGATATTGCTAGCCTCATAGGATGAGTTAGGAAGTGTCCCTCTTCAGTTTTTTGGATGTGTTTGAGAAGGATTGGTGTTAATTCTCTAAACATTTGGTAGAAATCACCAGTAAAGCCATCTGGTCCTGAGTTTTACTTTGATGGGAGGTTTTTGATTATTGAATCAATCTTTTTACTTGTTACAGGACTATATAGACTTCCTGTTTCTTCTTGAGTCAGTTTTCGTAGTTTCTAGGAATTTGTCCATTTCAACTAGGTTATCCGATGTGTTGGTGTACATACATATTCATATTGTTATTCATATTCTCTTATAATTCTTTTTATTACTGTAAAATCAGTAGTAATGTTTCCTCTTTCATTTCTAATTTTAGTGATTTGAGTCTTTTTTCCTTTGTACTTTTTTTTCATACTTTGTATGATTTCAGTCTTTTAAAATTTATTAAGACTTGTTTTATGGCCTGATGTATGATCTAACCTGGAGAATGCTACATGTCCACTGTGGAAAATGTGTATTCTGTTGTTGGGTGATGTGTTCTGTTAGATCTAATTGGTTTAAAGTGTTGTTCAAGTCCTCCATTATTGAAAATGTGTATGGTAGTCTCCAGCTCTTGTAGAACTATCTATTTCTCCCTTCAGTTCTGTCCATTTTTGCTTCATATATTTTGGGGTTCTGTCATTCGATGTATATACATTTATAATTGTTAAACCTTGACAAATTGAACCTTCTATCAATTTGCAACATCCCTCTTTGTCTCTTATAAACTTTTGTTTACTTAAAATGTGTTTCATTTGATACTAAATCCACCCCAGCTCTCTTTTGGTTATGAGTTATTTTCTTAGTGATTACCTTAGGGATTGCAATTAACATCTTAAATTTATAACAACCTAGTTTGGGTAATAATCATTTTAGTTTGAGTAATACGCAAATACTCTGCTCCTATACATCTCTATCTCTTGTTTACATTGTTACTGTCACAGATTACATCTTTATACCTGTCTGACCTTTGACATAAATTTATAATTATTTTACGAATTTGCCTTTTAAATTATATCGGGAAAAAAGAGGAGTTACAAACCAAAAGAACAATAATATCAGCTTTTATATTTACCTATATAGTTATCTTTACCAGTGTTTACTTATTTCTTCACATGGCTTTGGGTTACTACCTAATTAATGTCGTTTTATTTCATCCTGAAGGATTCTTGTAGGGTAGGTTTAGTGATAATAGATTTCCTTGGTTCTGGTTTATCTGGAAATGTCTCAATTCATCCTTTATCCTTGAAAAATACTTTTGCCAGATAAAGAATTTTTGGTTGACAGTTTTTTTTTTTCTTTCAGCACTTTACATGTGTCACTCCACTTCCTTTCTGACCTCCATGGTTTCTGATATCAGCTCTTAATCTTATTGAGGATCCCTTGTATGTGACGAGTCACTTCTGTCTTGCTACTTTCAAGATTCTATCTTTGGCTTTCAACAGTTTGACTGGGGACTTCCCTGGTGGGCCAGTGGTTAAGACTGCGCTTTCACTGCAGAGGGCCGGGTGCGATCCCTGGTCAGGGAACTAAGATCTCACATGCTACTCGGCACAGCCAAAAAAGAAATTTTTTTTTTTTTTTTTTTTTTGACTATAATGTTCCTCGGTGTGGATCTCTTTAAGTTTATCCTGCTTGGAACTTGTTGAACTTCCTAGGAGTGTAGATTCATGTCTTTCATCAAATTTAGGAAGTTTTTGGCCAGTATTTATTTTTTCTACCCTTTCTCTTTCTCATCTCCCTCTGAGACTCCTATGATGTGGTGTCAGTATGCTTGATGGTGGTGGTGTAACACAGGTCCCTTATTTTAGCTATTGTACTTTTCAGCTCCAGTATTTCTGTTTGGTTCCTTTTTGTAATTTATCTTTATTGGGTTCCCCCCTTTGTTCATACAGTGTTCTCATTTCCTTTAGTCCTTTTTATTTTCTTTTTTTAACTGAAATAGATTTGACATATAACTGTGTAAGTTTAAGATGTAGAACATGTTGATTTTTTACATTTATATAATGCAGTATCATTGCCATTGTAGTGTTACACCTCTAAGACATCACATGATTATCATTTCTTTTTTTGTGGTGAGAATAATAAAGATCCAGTCTCTTAGCAGATTTGATATTTATAACGCAGTACTGTTGTCTGTAATCATTATATTGTGTATTAGATCACCAGGATTTATTTATCTACAGGTGTCAAGTTTGTACCCTTAAATGGCATCTCTCCTATTTCCCTACCCCGCAGCCACCGGTAGCCACCATTCTATGCTCTCTTTTTACAAGTTTGGCTTTTTCAGATTCCACAAGTGGTATACAGTATTTGTCTCTCTCTATCTGACTTATATCACTTGGCATAATGTCCTCAAGGTTCATCTATGTTGTTGCAAATGGTATGAAAATGAATTTCCACCTTTCTTAGGGATGAATTATATTTCTGTGTGTGTGTGTGTGCGTGCGCGTGAACAGTTTTTTTATACATTTATTCATTGACAGATACTTAGGTTGTTTCCATATCTTGGCTATTGTGTATAATGCTACAATAAACATGGAGGTGCAGATTTCTCTTCAATATCCTGTTTTTATTTCCTTTGGATATATACCCAGAAGTGGAATTTGCTGGATCATATGGTAGTTCTAAATTTTTGAGGAACCTCTGTACTGTTTTCCATAGTGGAAAAAAACATTACCAACTTACATTCCAGCAGTGGTGTACCAGGCTTCCCTTTTCTTCATGTCCTCACCAGCACTTGTTATCTCTTGTGACTTCTTGGTGATGGTCATTCTAACAGATGTGAGGTGCTATCACACTGTGGTTTTGACTTACATTTCCATGATGATTAGTGATGTTGAACACCTTTTCATGTACCTGTTGGCCATTTGAATGTCTTCTATGGCCAATAGGAAAAACGTCTATTTAGTTCCTCTGTCAATTTTTTTAATCCGATTTTTTTATTGAGTTATATGAGTTTTTATATATTTTGGATATTAACTCCTTATCCAGTATATGGTTTGCAAATATAAATATTTTCTCCCATTCTGTAGGTTGCCTTTTCATTTTGTTTTTTTTTTTTTTTTTTTTTTTTTTTGCAGTGCAGAGGCTTTTTAGTTTGATGCAGTCCCACTTGTTGACTTCTGCTTTTGTTGTTTGTGCTCCTTTAGTTCTTGACATGATTTCCTTTAGCTCCTTGAGCATAACTGAGACAGTTGA